ATAATAATAATAAATCCACTGCCTCTTTTTGCTCCCTAATCTTCACTACCTAGCGCCGCTGCAATGGTGTATTCTAAAAGAACGAGACCCTGCCACCCCTCGCAGGAGCACCACACAGGGCACGCACGCCAATAACACACACACACACACAAAAAAAAAAAAAAAAAAAAGAAGGGAAGGGAAATGAAGAAGTTAAATCGCACAGCAAACGCCAAGAAAGCCAGCGGCATATTTCACAGGCAACATGTGCAAAAACAGAGCAAAAGGAACATGTCAATTGCCGGAACAGATAAAACAGGAAAAGGCAAAAAAAAAAAAAAAGAAAATGTAAACAACATAAAAACAAAATGAGGGATCAAAAGGAGACGCATCTCTAAATTTGAGATAATATACTGAATGGAGTTGCAAGAGTAAACAATACGTACAAGAACACAGCGCATGTCTACCTCCATTATTTATGCTGACTCTCTTGTTTTCGTTTATTATTATTATTATTATTATCATTAATTACTTTTCTATTCTCATTTCGTCTCTCTGCCCTCCTTTTGCACCTTCCAATGTGCATATTCGGAATACTCCATCCTCCGTGCCAACTGTGCACAAAAAATAAATAAATAAAATAAAATAAAATAAAATAAAAATCGGCAAATAATAATAATGAAGTTATGTAAATACATATCGCTCTGCGTACTTGCACATATATTTATATATATTTGTAATTCATGATGCAGCCCCTTTATATATATATATGTGGTGTAACTATGAATAGAAAATAAACGATGTCCCTGTCCAAAAGAAAAAAAAAAAAAGAAAACAACAACAACAACAAAAAGAGAACGTAAGGGCCTCCTCCCCCCCTCCCCCTTCCATCGCGCGCATAACTCAAAAAAGTAAAAACAAACATGATTGCCTGATAGACAGAGACGTAAAAAGGCCCACAGTGAAAACAACACAGGTAGAGTAAAAATAAGGAATACGTAAGGAGGAAAAAACTTCCTTACAAGAGGGTCCCAGGTGTCCGTGAAAAATAAGAAGAGTGCCTTCGCTGCAACGACAAAGTGCGTCACGGAATTCCGTTAGAATCCACGAAGCACAGACACACCCTCACATCCTGACTGCCATGATCATCCACACCTCTCTCTCCTCTATTTTACACAACTATGCAATGCACTCAAATACTCTCCGCTCGTTTTAAAATTCTCTCATCGCTTATTTCCTTAACCGGCCCGAGACAGAACCCCGCGCTTACAGAGTCATAGGCCCACATCTACAAGTATTCCAGAGACAGATATAGATAGATAGATATATACACACGTACGCATCTCAAACGTAAATAAAGAAATGTCAATTCCATTTGGTTGTTTGTTTGTTGGGGGGCGGTCCCTCCCTCCCTCTGCCGCCCAAAAGACGGAAATCACAAATTTTAAAAATAATATCAAACCAAAAAAAAAAAAAAAAAAGAAAAAAAGAAGAAAAAGCACTTAGCCCGATAAAAGGATCTTCATCAATCATAAATAATAATAAAAGAACATCCTTTGCCCTCTCACTGGGCCCACCCACACACACACACACACACACCCTCTCCCCACATCCTCATGGAAAGAAAAAAAAAAAAAAACCAGGCATCTTCCACCTCGTAAAAAAAAAAAAAAAGGAAGAATGCATCAATTCTTAGCCAAACTAAAGCCAAGGTTGCAGCTCCTCACATCCTTCCAGTCCTCTTATATTTAACATTTCCTCTTTTCATTTTCCCTCGCCCCTAACCCCCTCCAGAGCCCGGCAGCACCGTTGGGGGAGGGTGACTGCCACCATATAAACCACATGACGTACGAAAATAAGATGAAAAAAAAAAAAAAAAACAATGCCACTGAACGGATTCCCTCCCTTCTTTGTTGTTGTTGTTGGTGGTGGTGTATGTTCGTGCAAACCACGCCCGCCTCCCTGAATGTCATTTTAATTGGCAGTTACTGTGATCTTCGCTGCTTTCCCCTCCCCATGGGCGGCACCGTACGCTCTGCATGCGTCAGTCAGTACCATTTCCCCTTCCCACTTCCCCCGTTCCCTCATGCCCTGACCGCCCTCATCGTCGCATCGCTACCACCCCGCAGAAAGCGTCAAAGAGGGAAACAGAGACAAAACACGGCAATCACACAATCCCCACCACAATAACAACTCAACAAAACAAAAACAAAAACAAAAAATGTACACACGCATTCGCACAAAATCAAAAAAACATGCAAAAGAAGATCCAAACAAAACAAAACAAACAAACAAACAAAAAAAAACGAAAAAGAATACACACAAAAAAAAAAAAAATTATTCAAGCACAATTAATACATCTATATGCCTTACAGATATCCAATGCCGACACACAGAAATAAAAGGAAGGAAAACACAGTGAAAATTAATAAAAAAAAAATGGGACAGGATATAAAAAAAAAAAAACCACCGATAATAATTAAAGAAAAACAAGAAACACATACATGGGAAAAAAAAGAAAAAAAAAGGATCATTTCCTTCCCCTCCTCCAAATCGGCACCACGCATATTGCGAGCATTGCTAGTTTTAGATGGGTAACGTCACAAAAGTCGTAATCCATGCATAAATAAATATAAATACATTTATTATACCATTCCATTTTGAATGTTTTTTTCTTCTTTTATTTTTTCCTTTTTTTTTTTTTGCTTTTTTCTTTCTTTTTTTTTAAATTTATTATTTTCCTTCGTCCTTTCCCTATATATATATATATATGTGCCGTCAACTTCTCTTCTTTCCCGCTCCGAATGAACCCGCGCCCCCTCCTCCCTCCTCCTCACTGTAAGTCTGCATGTGTGCAAAAATCCCTCTGTCTACCTGTGTTCGTGTGTGCTGTGAAGAACGGCGATTAAAGGCGGACTGAAAGTCCCTTTTTTTTTTTTTTCTTCTTCTTCTTCTTCTTGGATGTCTTCTCCAGTTTTCTTCCACTCATGCACACATGCTTACGCACGAAAAAAACAAAAACATGTTAATCACATCATCCAATTCAAAGGAAAAAAAAAAAAAAAAAGAAACGCGCCTTATGCATAAAGGTGCAAAATAAAATAAATAATTTTTCCCCTCCCCTCAGCTCTGATTTCACGCCTCTTTTCCGTCCCGCCCAACAAGCTCAGAATGCATGCGTGAACAACAACAACACTATATAAATATATAAATATATATGTGTGTGTGTGTCAGTCAATATGCATACGTGTACGATGGGCCTGTTCTGGTGTGCATATTTGTGGGACATGTGTCAGCGCTCACAGACATTTTGTTTGGTTTTTTTGTGCGTTTATTCCATCATCCTCCCCTCTTCTCGGTTGCGACTACACACAAGTGTAACATTTGGCTGTTGGGAATACTCGATACACACAATGTGGCGAAAAAACAAAACGAAAAAAAAAAAAAAAACATACAAATAAAAAAAGAAAATTGCAAGAAGGAATATATAAAGCAGTCCATTACACAAACGGACTTCAAAAAGTAACACTTCGCTCCTACACGTCACACCATCCCTACTGTAATACATACATACATACATACATACATATATATATATAGTAAAGTACATATGTATATATACGTGTGTGTGTTTGTTTGTCTCCTCAGGGAATTCTGTTGTAGCCACATTATTAATAATAATAATAATAATAATAATTATTATTATTATTATTATTCCTTTGTCTGTGCCTTTTAGTGTGTGTTGCCATTTTTTTTTTTTTTTTGATGTTTCAATATACCCATCATTCACGTGCACACTGTCTTATCTGTTGTTCCTGCCGTTCATCATATTTATTATATGTAAATATTTTACTTATTTATAATTCTTGCTGTTGTCACCATTTTCGTCATCGCCATATTCAAAATAAATAAATAAATAAATAATAATAATAATAAAAGTACAGTCATTATCATTATTACTATGGTCACTGCAGTAAATTTTATATGTATACACACATATAAATAAATATATATGAATAAATAGATAATGGCACAGACGCACATACACACAGAGAGAGGGAGAGAGAAGGCAGGGGACAACCACACACTTACAAATACACATAAATATTTCCCCTTTTCAGCCTGCGAGTCAATTTGTTTGCCACTTCCATGCGTTCTCGTTTCCAGCGCTCCACAAAAAAAACAACAACAAAAAAAAAAGATCGCTCTCCTTTTCTCGCTTTCAACGCGCCAACTGAAACAGGCACGGCAAAAAACACACAAAAAAAGACAAACACACACACGCACACTGAAAGGAAAAGAAAATTGTTAAAAGACGCTAAAGAAAAAAAAACCCGTAAAAGTTAGAGGTGACAAAACACGGGAATGAAGCAACAAAAATAAAGGGAAAATCAAAATAAATAAATAATAACAAAAACGACAAGAAAACAAACAAACAAACAAAAAAAAAAGAAAAAAAAAAAGGCGTCGCGGGTAGGCACACAGAGACACAGACAGAGTGGGAGAAAGAACTGCACACGTACAACAAAGCATGGAAGAGGGGTGCGGGTCAATCACGAAAAGAATTATAAAAAAAACAAAACACACACACACACAAAAAAAAAAAAAAAAAGAAAAAAAAGAAACCACAGAAGAAAGAATCAAAGAAACAATAACATTTCAAAAAAGTACTCCACGCTTCCACAAAAAATGAAAACTTAAAGAAATGATACAAATAAAGAGAGGAAGAAAAAGAGGTCGACACAATTTTTTTTTTTTTTTTTTTTGTCTTTCAATTTTTTTTTCTTTTCTTTTTTTTTTATATTTTATTTTTTTGGTTTTTATTTATTTATTTTTTTTTTTTTCTTAATTTTCTTCTTTTATTTTTCCCCGTCTTTCCTCCCGGCGAGGGCGGAGGCAAACGGCGCGGGGGAAGTGAAAAAACAACAAAAAAATGGTGAGAGGGCAACGAAGGGAGTACCCAAAGAGACACAGAGAGACAGAGAGAAGGGGAGAGGGCCAACGCAGCAGCAGCAGCAGCAGCAAAAAAAAAAAAAAAAAAAAGAAGAAAAAAAAAAGAGCTCTCAAACAATTTGGTACTATTGATGTGTTTGTCTCCCTGCTTTTCATGTCTGTTGCCTCCTCCTCTCCCTCTCCACCCCCTTCGCCCTCGGTGCCAAGAATGTTTAATCCGATCGTGACCTTAACCGCCACCCTCCGCTTATTCATTCCTGACAACAGGAGATCTGCATGTTGCCACAGACGCGCATAAAGAGAAGAGATATGAATGAAAAACAAAAACAAACAAAAAAAAAGGAAGGAACAGAATCCAAAGATGAAAAAGTTAAAACAAAATAAAAAGTAGGGAAAAAAAGTGAATCTCCTGTATTTACCCGCCTTTACACATATTGCCAGCCATTGTTTACGCTGTAGCCCTGCTGTTGTTGCGCCAGCGGCGGAGGCGGTAATGGTTGCTGCGGTATCTGTGGAATCATTGGATTTTGAGAATGAGACTGAGACGTGTACGGCGGAAGTGTGTGCAGGAACATCGCCGGGTTTCCTGCAGGCGGATGTGAAGAGCCGCCCAAGTTCGACTGGGGCACAATAAACGGTGTCATTCCCCTTGTGGCCTGCGCCGCATCCCCGCAAGCACCTCGCTGATTACTGCAACGCATGCACATCACCGTGTTGTCTTGAGGAAACAAAAAAACAGGCTCCATCGCACCAATAGGCGAGAGACAAGTAGAACAGCGTGAAACTCCCTCAGGAAGTTTTGGGGGCGGCGGAACTGCGTTATAGGAAGCACCAAAATCCGACAAACTTGATGGAAAAGAAGTCCCCGAGTTGCCGAGACCGACATTCCCAGTTCCATTGCCACCCCCATTGACTGCGGGTGCAGAAAATACCTTGGTATTTATTTGATTTGGTGGAAGGCCCTGAAATCCGTTTGGAGGAGCCCCAATAACATAATAATTGACCTGCGGGACGGGGGCAACCACCGATGGCGACAGTGTTGTGGGCAAAATATGGTTCTGCAATACACCGGGAATGTTTGGAGCGGGATTATTGTTCAAAAACGGCGTGACACCAGTGTTGTTTGAAATGGGACGAAAAGAAAGAGCCGACGTATCCATAGAATTCCATCCAGGTACAACGAAATTCATTGCCAGTGGATGAGAAGTTATGATGGAGTTAACATCATTTGTGGCAATTAAAAAATTCTCTGGGACAGCACCCACGTCTCCCTTATGTCGATTACTCGATTTCCCCCCTTTACTAGCAGAGGTGCGGCTTCGCATGTAAGGTGGAGTTAATTCCTCCAGTACAAGAGCGGCCTT